TTTTTTTTTTTTTTTTTTGGGGGGGGGGTAATTATAGTGTTCCAAAACGCGGCATTAATTTCTTGACGACCTAATACTTAGGAGTTGAGGACGATAATGTTGATTAAGTAATACACTTATATACATATTTTTTTCCTAGATTTGCAAAACTTTGGTTCTCTCCGTTTTACACAAATTGATAAATCCTAAATACTTACTTCAACTCCATTTAAAAGATATCGAAATTCGGGACAAATACAAGCGGCACCAGCATAAGCAGCATCTATATGAAACCAGAGGTTTTCTTTCTTACCTAGAAAAAAAGAAAAGAAAATAATACAAAGTAAGCGAAAAACCGCTCTTCCACATTGCGACAGCGATTTTTCTAGTTTATCTGTAGGCATTATTTTGACACGGTTTCTTTGACAGTTTCGCTGTCAGTATCGTTTTAAAAGATAATTAGCTGACAGTCGAACAACTGTGTTTGTTTGTTTTGAATTTCGCGCACAGCTACACGAAGGGTATCTGCGCTAGCCGTCTCTAATTTAGTAGTTTAAGACTAGAGGGAAGGCAGCTAGTCATCACTACCCACCCCCAACTCTTGGGATACACTTTTACCAACGAATAGTGGGATTGACCGTCACATTATAACGCCCCCACGGCTGAAAGGGCGAGCATGTTTGGTGGGACGGGGATTCGAACCCGCGACCCTCAGACTGCGAATCGAGCGCCCTAACCACCTGGCCATGCCGGGCCCGAACAACTCTGAATCCAATAAATAACAAAGCAACATTAGGGTGGTCTTTATTTGCAGGTACAACTTCAGGTTAATTTTTTTAAAGCTCTTATCTCTAATATAGTTCCAATTTACACAAAAACAATAAGAACATTAATCGTTTAACTTCATCCATTTTGCACCATATTTAGAAGTTGATCAATGAGGTTGAAGTTACAGACTACATTGACCTGGTACTTTACGTACTATGTGGTATAAAAAATATTTGTTATTTTTATAAATATTTATTTAAAATATATTATTTGATGTAGAGCATAATTACATAATTATATTATTTTTTATATGATTTTAGTGTGTTTAGTCACTTCTGCATTATTATTCTTTCCATTTTGCTGTTAGGAAAACGTCTTCCATGATCTTGCACAACTTGATGAAGGAATTATTTATGTTCTTCTTTCTTTGTTACGACGGCACTATACTCCTCAATAAGTGTCACACCTATTTCAGCATTGTCGTTTACCACATCCTAGTGTTGAACTGTCTGTAGTGCCTCCCTTTGGTTGTCTGTGATTTCGAGTCATAAACTAAAAATTAAGATGAAATGTCGAGGCATTTGAAGAAATCTGTTGGGACATTTGTGATAAAATCTCCAACTGACATGTCCTCAAACTTTTCAGTATTCATCTGGATGTGTTTTGGAGACTCATCCGTGTCTTCTTTCTCATTTAGTGTCTTTGCCATTCCCATTCTGTAGCTGTAGATACAGATAAGTCAAAGAATGCCCCCAAAAATGGTTCCTTGTTGAAATGCCATAGCTGCCCAACAAATGTTTGACAGGCAGAGCAGAATTCACCTTCTTATACCTAACAAGACACTGAAGGAAGTTAAGGCCATTGCGAGGAGCAGAAGTGGCACCAGAAGCAGTGAACCATGCTCTAAGACAGACTCGAACAACAAAGATGTAGATGTTACGGAGTCCTCTTTCCTCACAGCTAGTGAGCTTAAACTTTCTCATGAACATCCAGATCTTTAGGGAATATAATGATTTGGCAATCCATTGTGCATGATGCAGTGTTTGAGGTGCTATAAATCGCACTCCACGAGGGGGGATGCTACCGAGAAAGGTTATGACTAATTCAAGAAGCTCTCGATAATCGTCTATGAAGTTGTCTTGTAGAAATTCTAGAAACTACTGTCATACAATATAGAATATTCCGGAAGTAAAAAATGATAGTATAGATTATTTATGTCAGAAATGTTTTTGAACATTCTGAATACTGTGGAATATTCTATAATAATATGCTAGAGCATTCCAGAATAATGTAGAATCTTCCAAAATTATTTAGAATATTCTAGAACATTATAGAATATTTAGAATAAGCAGATATAATGCAAGCTACAAGTTAAAATTTCAACTACACTGAGCAACTCCTAAATGTTAATCAGTATGGGTAAAAGTTGATGTGAATTAATTATTTATATATTTGAATAAAATGAGGGGGTGAGAATGTTGTAAATCAAAACTTGAAAAGTAACGAACACACTGATCTGACATACATCTAATTTTTATATTTAATTCTTTCTGAGCTTTGCGTATACTATACAATTAGCAAATATAGCACTCCATAACATTGTGCCAGTGATTTGTTTTTAGTAGATTTACATAATTCATTTTATTAATGTCACGGCCTAGTAATCTGTGTACCCAAACTATGAATCTGAGGATTTATGGTTTACGCCCCGTTACTCTCCACACTTTGGGTACGCTGTAAGAGTGAAGGTCAAGTCCCACTATTCGTTCAGACAAGTGTAGCTCAAGAGTTGGCGGTGGATGCTATGATTAGCTGTATTCCTTCTAGTCTATCAGTTCAAAATTAGGGACGGCTATGCGCAGATAGCCTTTAGTGTAATTATTCGAAAAAATGCTACAAAAATACACACACACAAGTATACTATCTGATCTATGCTATATCTTCAAAATCAAACACAGATTGTTTGTAATTAAGCACAAAGCTACACAGTGGGCTATCTGTGCTCTGCCCACTACGGGTATCGAAACCCGGATGCTAACGTTGTAAGTCCGCAGACATATCGCTGTGCAACTGGGGGGGGGGGCGATTAAAACTAAAAAGTTATCACTGGAGCAAATCTGATTGGAATTGTACAGTTTAAAACTAAGTAACTCAGTAGTCTGCTCTGCAAAGTTCGTAAAGGTTAGAAACTTAGATTTTCGATAAATTTGTTTTCGGGATGCATGTATCTAAATAATGAATCAAGAAGACGAATAAAACTGATGAACAATTACGCTTTAGGTGAATCGCTATAAGGTCTGGTTCGTTATTAAGTACAAAATAAACAATGGCTATCTACTTTGTGCCCACGGCATGGATCGAACAGTATTTTTAACGGTATAAGCCCTGAACTATGATTGTCGGCGAGTCATCGGCGGACCACACTGTAAGCATATGTAAACATTATTTTGTGAGCATATTTCTCTTTATCAAATTACTACATATTTACGGAAATAATAATACATTTATTAATTCAAATATATCCCTAATTAATGTGAATTAGTTCTCTATTTTATATTGAAAGACAAGAATATCATTTTGTATAATCGTGTTAACACAGTCTGTTACTTTATTATTTTTGTGTATGTCCAATTCATTTACTAATATAGGCTTAAACAAACACACCATTTACTGATAGAGTAGGCTTAACAAACACATGCATACACTCTCCTCATAACTTTAGATTAATTCCAGATCTCATTAACCCTATTTTCAGCAAATTTGTACCGTTTCACTTCTATAAAGCGAAACATCATTGTAAATTCAAAATATTTATGTGTAAAATAGATGATGCCTGAATTTATTAATGCATATCTATCACTGTAGTAAGACAAAAAACACAAGACCTACACACTTCTCCTAATTTCTCGATGTTGTCAAATGCACACGAATTGGTTGAGCCCAGAGTTCCTACTACCTGCAATAATGAGGGCGATATTTTTACTATACTACATGCTAGGAGTATTATCATACTATATATAGGGCTTATTTAATCTATATTTGTAAGTGTTTTATTAAATAAATAAAAACGTTTAATATACTTATATCATTGTAGAAAAAGGTAGGCTTACGTTTCATCAGCGACCAACAGCAAAAAATGAAGAAAGTATATTTCTTATTTATTCTTATAAAAATAACTAAAACTTAATTAGAAACATGTTAGGTTAGATTATGTTAAATTAGCTACTATCATGAAAAATAATAATAATTATACAAAAAACCGTATGTAAAAGGTTAAGTATTATATTGTTACGTCTCCGTTCGTTAGTTAATTTTCCGTAAATTCGTTCCGACGAAACTTTAGCGACACAAGTCCTTTCTTAAATAAAACTGGTTTATTCTTTCTGAATAGCCTTGGCCGCATTTTGATATCAATTATTTTAGTCGCCGTTTGTATAACAAATGACCTTTTTGTTTTGGCCGCACTTTTTTTTTCGCAGCCAAGCTGTGTTTGGTTTGAATGCTATATATTTTTTGTGAAATACATATACCTTTATACTATATACATATACATATACATGCATATAACGACAAAAATCCTTGCTAATGTTAGCACTAGGCAGACACAACAAGTTAATAACACACTTCAACAATGAGTAACAGTCAAAACTTGGGCAATTCCGACCAAAGCCTGCCAGTCAACCAAAATCACTTACAAAGCTTACATATTAGTCGGTACATGTGAATAAACAGTGGACAATAAACCCACCCCCCCCCCTACATAGTGAATAGTAAATAATACTGAAATACAAACAAGTCCTATGGTTATATAGCTAGCACGAGCTACAGTGCGCACGAGCATATAGGATTATGTGAATGGAAAATAAACTTAAGAATTAAACTTACAAACAAATATATTAGTTTGGACAAAGAAGTAATGGTTGTCAATAAACAATTAAAACTCGCGAGTGCCGCATGTTTACACAGGAAGCCAGTATAAATTCCACCTATTGACAGAGACGATTTTAAATTTTACAAGCACTTTACAACAAAACTACTCTTCAGAATTGCACGAAATTTTGTACAAACATAAAACTAATGGTATTTTTTATCCCTGTAGAGTTTAAAGGAAATTAAAAATCAGGATTTTCTTTTAGATAAAACCAGCCCTGTAGGCCACAAAACTTATTGTTTTGAGCCACAAAGACTATTGCCAATAGATTGAACATGAAGGAAGTAATGATGTTAATTTTGATGCAGTCGACTAAGATCGAGGTGACGGTTGAGGTTTGAAAATTAAACACGCGTGCCATAAAAAAATTGGGTTTGCGAAAACCAACAATATTGTTGCGTCAGCGAGGTCACGTGAATAGTATCACGCCACGTACTTCTCGAACCTTCGTGAATTATCGGGAGACTACTAGATTGGGGTAGTCTGGTATATATAAGATGGTCACAATGTGACGGGACAGTGAGTAATTGGACTGCAGTCAGAGAGTGTGTAATTGAACTGAGTATTATTGAAGTTGAGCACGTGAGAAGTTCGTTGTTAGAGCGTTTGTTATAGCGCAACTGTTCAGTGTTAAGTGTATCGCAAAGTTAGACAAACAAAACCGAAAATACATCGACTGTTTTCTCACAATTATAGAAAATTTGTACTTAGTGGTACAAACATAATACATTATTGAAATGTATATTTGTTTCTACCATGCCCACTGTACTTTTCAAGTAGATACTCTAGTTAAGTTCTCAGTTTTTGAGATTTATTGAAATGTCTTATCACAAAACATTAATCCTGAGCCTTTAGGGGCATCCAATTATATATGCATATACTACTCATGGAGAGAGTAATATTTTATAGTTTAGTATAAAGTATTACTAAATATATGTTACCACTGTTTATCACTATTTTTTATATTCTTTCTAACAGTGGATTAATTTATGCTTGCAGCCTCTGGTTGGTAATTCTTGCTCATCTTCTCCTTGGAATCGGAGTGGGAGGAGAAGTTATAGTAGAATTCAACCCTTCCTTGACGATACTATGTATAAGATACAAGTATTTAAAAAGTGAAATATGAAAAATACGTATTCGTACTTTGAATGAGAATAACAATATCAATGTACAAGTAGAAATAATTAAATATGTAAAACACATGTGTTTTATCGTGTTTCTTTTTGAAACTTTTCTTTTCTATGTACTGAAACTACTGTTTTCTCCGTTAAATAAAACATGAAATTAAATAGTTAACACATCCTGTGGAGTAACGTCTTATCTATGGTTAAATAAACTATAAGTCACAATATTTCTAACTAAATGACCAAGGCAAGTGTTGTTATTGCTCTGGCTGGTTTTAATAATTACAATATTGATTACAAACATTTCTGAAGTTCAGAAGAAGTTGGAGCTTTAAAGAATCTTAGAAAAATTATAGTATTGTCATTTCTAAATCGGTCAAAGGGAATACTATTGTAATTTTAGATTAAAGTGATTATTTACGAAAAGCAGAAGAAATTCTTAGTGACTACTAAATTTATTAAATTGTATCATGATCCTACTGAAAAAAGGGAAGCAAAATGACAGTGATATTTATTGAAAGACAACATTCTTAATGATAAAAAGTATCTAAATGTTAGACCATCAGGGAGTCTTCCTGGTATCTTTTATGGGTTTCTAGAAGTTCACATAAAAAATACAATAGTTGAAGTTTGACAATAGTGTACATTGTGCTGGTTTCGATATAGAACCATTATATGCAAATATATCGTTAAAAGACACCATACGTTTGACTGCTGATTGGGTAGATAGTGAGAATTACAACGAAGTGAATGTTGTTGCTTTTTTTAATTAATTAACTTCGCCTCTAAAGATTCTCATTTTTTAACGGAATGTTTTATGATCAGGTCGACGACGCTGTCAAGGGCTCAAAACTAGCGCCATCTCTTGCCAGTATGTTATTACTAAAAGCAACGCATTCAAATAATGCATAGTTATGCATTCAAATAATGTGTCAATGCCTTCTTTGTTTTGTTTAGTGTTCCAGTTTCTTTTTTACACAATTTATTAATGAAATAAAACAGGGAGATTTTGAACAACATTTGTTTAAAACAGACCTTTAAAATTCTCGCAGAATTAAACCAGGAATTTTATCGTATCGTGACAAATTCTGGTACAGTTGCGTCAATGAAAGATCATATAATTGTGGTCAACGCCACATCAGTATACTGTATACCAGTAAATACACACTTTAGAATCACAGTGTTATCTCCAACTTTATCTACAATGTAACTTTATCACGTTGTAACTGAATCTCCATCAAAACTTCCACATTGAGATAATCGTATGAAATCTTCACTCGTATGTAAAGAGTATAACACCAGATGGAGTTGTTATCACTTCTTGTTATATAAAAACAAAAGTCCAAATAAGGACTGGAGGAAATCTTCTACGTTAAATCAGCGCGCGTAAGGGTTATTTCTAAGCGTTTGGTCAATGACAATTATTTCAGTTACTTAAATCTATATTGTGTCAGTCAGAAGTGAGCACGTGACACCCGACGGTTGTCTTATGCAGGTAGCGTTCATTACGGAAATAGTTGACTTCAGACTATGTTGTTCAGGCTGTCAAATGTATAGAACAATTATTACTGTAGCTTGTCTATCCCATTACGGATCTAACATACACGTAGTCATACCCAAAAGCGACTAAGTGACAAGTAACTTATACTTGTGCTATCGTTAATAAAACTGAATAACATGATAATAATTTTAAACCAAGTATAGAGTGTATTTTTTAGCAAGCAATTTTAAACTATGTATCTAATAATATTGATTTTTTTTTCTAAACATACATTAATACACTGAAGCTGAATTAGTGGGAATTTTTAACATGAACACACCTTACGTACACGTAGGCTAAAATGGTAAGATTCAGGTACAGCAGTTTCTAATTTTGAACTATTGACCAGAGAGAAAACAGACAGCCAGAAAGATCCGCCCCACAGTGGCTCTACGTTGAACTGAATACAGGGATATCGTACTTTAATTAAACGATAATGTTATGGCATGTTGAAGAAGGTGCGAGTCGTAGCGCTCCGGCGACATTTTTAGAACTCCTTATTGTTGAAGGAAGTTTTAAGGGCATTATAGAAAAATGGAAAAGGAATGTCCATACAGCGAGAGCATCAATATTAATTTAATTTGTTAATTACATTTAAGATGGTGTTTCTGTAGAAAATAATATTCGATATATATTTAATAATATTCAGTTTAAAATGATTCAGTTATTTCAATTGTTAAAAATAGTACTTGAACAATAATAAGTAATTAAAATACTGAGTTCAAATTATGACTATTTATTTACAGTATGTTAAATCAAACTACTATTTACATAAAATAAAATAAATAAATAAAACATTGAGGTGGGGAGTTACGGGTTTGGTTTGAATTTCGAGCAAAGCTACACGAGGGCTATCTGCGCTAGCCGTCCCTAATTTAGCAGTGAAAAACTAGAGGGAAGACAGCTAGTCATCACCGTCCAGCGCCAACTCTCAGGCTACTCTTTTACCAACGAATAGTGGGATTGACCGTCAC